ATCCTAGGCACACAGTACTGCGACTCAGATGAATCCGTGCTGAACTGTGGTCTGACATATGACAGTTATCGTCAGATCGAAAAACCAACAATTAATAAAATGGCTTTATTCTAGATGACTTGGCTGTATGAGGAAAAGTTGGATTTTGAAGAATCCATGAATCATTTAAAGTGACTAGATTTTTAATTTCTAAGCAAAATTTGATTAAAACGGATTCGTGATTTGGCCTCTGCGAAAGCCTATGATGAAGTGCATTTGAATGGAAAACGTTGGATTGCGCAATAAAATCCCAGGCTAATGGTACTGCGACTCAGATGAATCCGTGCTGAACTGTCGTCTGACATGTGGCAGTTATCGTCACATCGAAAAACCAACATTTAATAAAATGGCACCAAATACACTAAACAAAGAAAAGGATGCCTAGTGTATTTGATGTGTATCTGCTCTGGCAATGGCTGCCACGTGACAGAAGAAAGCTTGGCACGGATTCATTGGAGTTGTGAAACAGTGCGCCGATGACTTTTTCGCCCAATCTAACATTCTCTACTCCAAGGCAATCATCCTCCTTCGATTTCTGGTAAGGAAAATTTATGAGTCCCTTCGAATAAACTCTTCCTAAGAAATGAAGAGTTGAATCACACTAATTGCCTAGTATCATAGCTTTTTGTTGTGCATTCCCACTTTCAGACACTAGCATACATAATTACTTGTTTCTAGATCTCATTTGACGTCAACATGCTAAATCATTGGGGCGATTGTCCTACAAAGCGCTTCATCAGACATGCGTTCACTTGAAATAAAGTCATGTTCAGCAACCACAAAGAAGGAGACTCAAATTGTTAGCTTATTGGCGGTTTTGGCCGCATTCACGTTCGTTCATCCTAGCGTATAGGTCTGCATCTCATCATCTCACTCTTAGTAACTTTTGGGCTTACGTAATCTCGGTTGTGCTTTTCCTCCGGTCATAATGTTAGACTCTTCTTTAATTGCTCTTAAGTGTAGCCGGTATTGCATAATCTGATTAAGACTTATACAAATGTTTACACAAGCACACACACACAGAGACGCACACAGTCTTATTAATATGAAAGTTAACTAGCCAAATCATTCAATATTTATCTATATTTCTTTACTTTCATTTTTAGTTATGAGTATATATAGTGTGTGGGAGAAAACTGGATAGTCTTCTTCAATGTAATGAGATGTATTCACCCTATTTCGTGTAAGGTGATGAAGGACTGGTAGTAGAATTTTCCCAC